ACGTTACTACGTTACTTACGTTACGTTCGTTACGTTCGTTTACGTTTACGTTTACGTTTACGTTACGTTACGTTACGTTACGTACGTACTACGTACTCTCTCTTCTCTCTCTCTCTCTCTCTCTCTCTCTCTCTCTCTCTCTCTCTCTCTCTTCTTTTCTTCTTCTTCTTCTTCTTCTCTCTCTCTCTCTCTCTCTCAATGTGTCATGGTTTGGAATCTTAAAGGTGTATTTGGGCAGTGGATGGTGTGGCCCTATACACCGAACTCACATAAATTGGGTGTTTGATGTGGGGCCTACCTCCACTGCATGTTGGAATGGCTTCTATGCTAATGGGTGCTTTTGTAGAATGGTTTGGTGAAGCAACTTGTACTCCCTATTCAAACAGCCCCTAAAGTTTTGTTTTGTGCATTGATAGAGTTGAGGATGATTTTTTAGGTATTTAACCAGAAGTTGTAGAGAAGTCAAGAATTCTAATCCTAATGAAACCATTTCAAAACTGAGTTGCTAGTCACTGCAATATGTAGCGAAAATTTTCCAACCAAAACCAAAAGGCCTTTATGCACTTAGAGAGAATTTGGTTGTCATGATTTGGATCTTCTTGGTAAACTTTAGCATTGTTCTTGCAAACAAATGATAAAAACCTAACCGCCAAACTCAGTCCACAAAAGAGAATATTTTGAAGACTTTTTTTCAATTCTTTCTTAGCTTTCTTCTGCTATCCATATCTGCCAGCTAAAACCGAGAACTTCTAATCAAAACCTAACTAGACTTTGTAGAGCATCAAACTTTAATGTGATTAAAATAGGAAAAAATACATGGTAAAGACCCAAGTTATTCAGTTTGTACCTTATGTCCTCACGAGGAATTCTCTTAGTGCCTTGTTTGGAATGTTTTGACACTTTGACTTGTTATTGTCTTATATATTAAAAGCTGATGCTTACGATTCAATTCTCTTTGTTCTTATGTGGTCTTATAGGGAACTGCCTTTTGTTTGCATTGTTTATCTTGAACACCTTATCCCCAACTTGCTCATCAAATAAATTTGGTTGTTGGTCTGTTTACAAGTTTTTGTGGCTCCTATGATAAGAAAAAAGAGAGAGAAAAAAAAAACAATTTGTTTGGCTGTCATTCTTTCACTTCTTGCTCTGACGATCAGCTTTTATTGTTCCCATAAAATGACCAAAGATTTATAGCTGATATAAAGTCATTTGCTGAAGGGTGATGTTGAGTCTATTGCCTCAAAGAATCCTAAGGAACTCACAGCCCTCCTTGAGCAAATTTCTGGTTCTGATGAACTTAAGAAAGATTATGAGAGCCTGGAAGAGCAGAAGGAAAGGGCTGTAGAGAAATCTGCATACATTTATCAAAAGAAGAGGACTGTTGTCTTGGAAAGGAAACAAAAGAAAGAGCAAAAAAAAGAAGCTGAGGAGCACCTTCGCTTGCAAGAGGAGTTGGTATGTGGTTTGTTTACTGCCCATTTGGATTTATTTTTGTCAGCTGTCTTATTTGGTTGGTTTTTAATCTCCTTTCCTTACCGGTGATAGCTGTATACAATGATTGCTTTACCAGTCTACTGTAGCTATTTCAAAACATGATTTCCTTTTTAATTGCGGGATATTCTTTTATTTGTGTTTTATTTTTGGGATGGGGAGGATCAAAATTCAACCATGTGTGGGTTTGCTTTAATATATCTCAGATGGCTGACATAATTTCTTGCAGAAATCTCGGAAAAAAGAGTACCGTTTGTGGCAAGTATTTAACATTGAAAATGATATGGAGAAGACTGAACATGAGCTTGAAGATGACAATAGAAATCTTCTGGATCTGGTGAAGGTCCAGGAGAAATGTGAACATGATGTCAATGACAAAAAGAAAGAACATGCTGGGTACTTGAAAGAAGCTCTCTTGTGTGAAAAGAAGTTTGCAAAGAAGAAAGCTGATCTTGATAAAAAGGTAAACTTTTGAATTTTTTGTTCATAGATGAGTATGATCCTTTATGTTTTAAGACAACATTATGGAAACTGTGATGTTCACTTGCTGCAATTTACTTCAACTATATGGGATGTTTGTACAAATGATCAACACCTGTATGGTGTAAAATTACATGTAGTTATCTGATGATGAAAATTTTGAACTTGATATTTCCATTCGGGAAAATTTAGGTATGACACTAATAGGCGATAAGATGAGAGAGAATACACTTAGGTGGGCTGGACATGTGTGGTGCAAAGCAGTACAATAACTATCAGGGGGTGCGAGATAAGTCTAGTGGAAGGCTAAAAAAGGGCAAGAGGTAGGCCCAAAAGGACATGGTTGGAAGTAGTGAGGAAAGATATGGGGACTTATGGCTTTACTAAGGGTATAACCCTTAATAAAATAGAATGAAAGACCAGAATTCATGTAGCTGACCTCAATTAATTGGGAAGAGGCTTTGACGATGACAATGATGATATTTCCTTTCCCTATCATTAGTTCATTGTTTTTTGGAAGTGTCTGAAGATTTTATGAGAGCAAATATGGTTGGTCGTATGTTTGATGGTCAGGTTTTAACTTCATTGGCCAAGAGTAATTACAAAAGGTCAACAAATTTTGGGTTATGAACTTCTATGTTTTGTTGAAAGTTTTTCATGATATGCTCGTAGACAAGTTGGAGTTCAAAGTTAGGGAACTGCTCGACACTTCTACCATAAATCAAGTTTAATTGAGAAAATTTTAAATTGTGGAATCCTGAAGTAAATAGTTATCAAGTCTTGGTGGGCTATGAATTCAAAATGTTAATAATGGTTGTGAATTCTGCATCAGGCCAATGATTTGGCAGATGAAAAAAGATTGAAAGTACAACACAAGTTATCAGATGGGATATTTGTGAAATCAAAGATCTGGCAAGTATAATTATACTGTTGTATGATTAACTGAGAAATGGAATTTCAATGCTCAGAAGGATTGCATGCCTCATTATAGGGGATAATAGAGGACTTTGTTACATCATGTGCCGAAGAAGTAATCTCTGGGGATATTGAACTGTGTATGCTCCTTACAGTTCTTTTTGTTTTTAATCAACTGTCAATTTACATGTGCTTCTAGCCATATTGGTCAGCATTGAAATGCATCTCTGTTTGTATCATATTAAAAAGGAAATGTTAATTTATCATTTTAAAAATATAATTCAAGTTTGAACTTTGTTGCATACTATAAAAAAGCATACATATGTCATACAAGTAGGAAATTGGCCCCTAATGAGAGAGACTTTATCCTCTACAAACAAAATTTCTAACTCGTCCCTTTTGGTGGGGCTGGCAATGGGCCAGACAGCCCAGCCCTGAAAAACCAGGGTCATGGCCACAAAATTTGGCCCGAGGGCTGGGCCACCTTGGCCTGAGATCAAGGTTGAGCAGGACTTGGGCCAGGCCGACCAGCAATGTTTTAAAATGTGGGATGCGGTCTTGATACGGATGGGGGCCTGATGCAGCGATGCGGCTCGATGAGGTCCAGATGCATATTTAATTTATTCATTAACTCCAAAAGTATCATTTATCTGACATTCCGTATCTACTATCCCCTAATAGATCATAGAAGACATTTGAAAGTAGAAACTAGAAACTAGAAACTTGAAACTAACTTTATAGAAGACAATAGAATTAAGAAGACATCATATTATCATAATTCATAAACATTCAAAAACCATAATCACAAATTTCAAACTGCAAATTTAAAGTTACAAACTAAAAGTCTCAGAAGATTGAAGAGTTCAAAAGTCATGACAGATCATCATCATTTCTCAAGTCTTGAGACTCTAAATCTCAAATCTTAATCAGCCAAGTTATCTAGAGAGTCTCCATGTGCATCGTCATCATCACTATCATCCTCGGTGGCCTCCACATTTTCTTCTTGTTCCTCAGTCTCCTCTAAGTCAGCCCCCTCTCCACCTCGATCTCTGGAGCTGATATGCGACTCGCTCTCAACTTACTCTTTTGGTTCTAGTGTTTGACCGTACTTCTTCATTAGCCCTTGTCGCTAGCTCGACATCATACCTATTAAGATTCACCCCCTCAAACACACACTTTGCTTGTGGATTTATGGTCCACTCACTTGTGCACTCACCATCAGGTTCATATAATCAATTTGGGTTGAGATCCATGCACTTTTGATACCTCTCTTTAAGTCGCTTGTTATATTGCACGTAAGACAAATCATTCAACTTCTTCTACTCCAACCTATTTTTTTTTTTGGTATGGAGCTACGCAAGGAGTCCAAAAGATGCCCAACTGTAGCGTAAGTGGCACCATTGTCAGTGACAATTTGTACTACATGTTGCTTTCCAACGAATTCTACAATCGCATACATCAAGTCACATAAGTATGTAGTATCATGTGTCTTGTCTGATGCATTAACAGACTTAACAAAGAAGTACCTGTTGGACAGTTAACCAAAATATTAATAAATGCCCTTGCTTCTCATCAAACCATCCATCACACATAATAGTTGCCCCATACTTCTTCCACCCTTCTCTTTGAGAAATCAAAATTTTATTAACATCAGACACAACATCCTTCAAAAAGGGCTCCCTGATCTCATGTAGTGTAGGAGGATTAAGTCTTGGGGCAAATGGCCCAATTGCTTGGACCACACATGCAAAAATATCGAGTGTTATGGTATTGAAAGGAATGCCTACCATATAAAACCACTTTGCAATGTACTGACATACCTTCTTCCTCTCTTTTTTCTTTTATTGATTTTCAATTGTGATTTGTTTTGATTTTTTCCTCCTCGCTTGAACCGCAATTTTGGGTCAGGGGTACAAAATGTATCCATTGGCCCTTAGGGTTTTTTTTTTTCCAACACTACCACCGATATTTATAACCCAATCTCTTGGAGTACCTCTTTGCCTCATCAAATAATTGAATTTCATCCATTAAGTATTTTCGTTTCATTTTCTTCTTTTCTTTTTGCTTTTTCAAGGTATCTATGCATTATCTAATATCCAATCTCTTTGGTAGCTTGTGGGCATGCTCTAACATTCCCAGAAATACTGGCGAAGTGTTCTTTTTGTCGAAAAATATGCCCATATAAGTATTTTCACAAAGAGTACAAACAACACAATTTCAGTCTTTTGGATTTTTGAGTTTTGCATATTTCCAAGCCAGATACTTGTTACTAGAAGATTATGAAGGAGGCATTGCCCACAAAAAAAGTATTAGAGTATTAGAAAATAAAAACTTACCAATTAATTGAAGAAAATATCGATTTCTTCTCGGCCCTTGAAACCTTCGAAATGTTGGCAAATCTTCATTCAAACTTCCTCAAATCAACACGATCCTCCAAGACGAAATTCAAAGATTATGGAATTTTTTTTTTTGTACTGCTCTGTTTTTTTGCCCCTCGATTTGATGAGACAAAAGCCACAGATGTGGCTGTTTTTACTGGTTTGGGGGGTTTAACACTCCCCCAACCCCCCCCCCCCCTCACCTGTCTCTTTTTTCACGGGTCAAATGACCCAAAAATCCCTTTTCAAAAGGTATTTTTCATCTCACAGGCAGGGTGCATATGCGCCCTATGCGGCTATGCGGCCGCATATGCGGTAGGATGCGGTGCATATGTGGGTGCCTCCCACAAAGCGCATATGCTTTGTGATGCCGTTGCTGGCGCATCCCGCATGATGCAGCCGCATTTTAAAACAATGCCGGTCAGGGACAGCCTTTTTCTCATATACATCTCTCTCTCTCTC